CTCCGTTTTTGCCCTTGTGAGTCACACAAGGCCTGCATCCTTCCTCCTTCCTCTGTCTCTTAAATGCACACAAGGTCCCGAGGTGCCAGTGGGTCTTCCCTGGGGTGGGGGGCCCATGGGTCGCTTCCAGGGGTCATGCCTGCCGCTTTTCTGCCTTAACACCCATAGCAGTCTCTCTAGGATGCCAGATGGGGGGGGTGGTGGTGGGAGGAGGAGGACTTTGGTGGGTGCCTTTGTCAATCAGGCTAGAATTGGGCGTCAGTGTCTCTCTCTTTCTCTCTTCTATTTATTCATTTTTTAACTTCTGAGTAATCTTGCTAGGGTGGCTAATCAACTAATTGATTTAATTCCTTAGTGTATTAATTTCTGTTGCTTTCTTCCTTTCCAACGCTGCCCCGCAGCCCGTCTGGCATGTTTGATTATGACTTTGAGTAAGTGTGACTTGACTCGACTCAGTGCTGGTGGGGTAACTCTAGTGCGTAGACGAGGGTTCGCTCCTTCCCGCCTGCTGCCTCCCCCCCAGCCCCTCCCTGTCAAGCCGCCTCCAAACCGTTCTAACTTATAGTTTATCTGTTTAATTGTAGGTATGTATATTAGGTTAGGCTGGCAAGTTTTTTAAAATACAGACAAAAGCACAACAGAGGTAATGTTTTATTTAATAACTTTGGCAAAAATTGAAAAAAAAAAAAAAACAACCCTGAAGTTGAAACCAATCAATCGGCTTCTCTTTCCTGCTGCTTCCCACCACTTTAAAAAGCAGATAAACTTCTCGCTTTGCTTTGTAAAGCTGGTTGCCCTTGCCTTTGGTCTCCCACCCTCTGCAAAGCCCAGAAGGCCTTGCCTGGTGATCACCCAGTGGATCTTCCCCCCCCCCAGGCTGGTTTTCTTAGCTGAGCTCTCAGGACCTCTTCTGTCTCCTCCTCCAGAGCCGCTCTTTTCATCCTGCTCACACCATGCATTATATTCTTAGGATGCTCCCTAACCCTCTAATCCGTTCCTCCTTCTGACGGGGCCAGGGTGGAGGGACTCTGCCTTGGGGGCCAGGGTTGGGGGGTGGGGAGGGAGCCACCTTTGCCCCACTTATCCTTCGTGGCAGCTGCTGCCGTGGACGGTGCCCTGAACCGCCTGGTCTCTGCTCAGGGCTGTCTTTCCATCTTTTGTTACAGGATTGATTTGAAGTTGAACAAGAAACCCCGAGCTGTAAGTATGGGCGGCTGCCCTCCTGGATTCTTCTCCCCATGCCCTCCTCCTCCTCCTCCTCGGTTCGCAGAGGCCCCACTCAGGGTAGCCGTGGGGTTCCAGGGGACAGCTGGGTAGGGCAGCCTTAAAGTCCCAGCGGGGGGGGTGGTGGAAAGTGGGGAGGCAAACAGAGGCCCTCCAGGGATGGCTGGCGTGTGGCTTCATGCAACCTGGGCCCCATAGCTGGTGCCAAAGGGACCCGGAGGGGGCAATTCAGCCATCTCTGCTCACCCTCTGGTCCTGAGGAGAAAAGGAAGCCCTCTCTCCTTTGGGTGTAGCCTTAGGTTGGAAGA